CATTTTATTGGTCTTTCCAATACCGAGCCTACGTAATAATAGAAACCACCGCGTTAATAGAAACCACCTAACCAAGTTCACGACATATGGTAATCGCTTACTTTGGTAGACCACGATTTAATCCTTCTAATAGTACACATGCTTTACACAATTCATTGCTTGACATGTATCCGCATCTTTTACATACACCTTGGATCGGCAACTTCACTTCCTGTTTAACTTCGAATGCTTCCCCGGAATGTATTATATCTTTGTTATTGAAAGTATCGAATTGAGTCATAACCAAAATATGCGCGTGCGTATATGTATAGATCGTGAAATTGTAAATACCTATAATGGCGCTCGGTCTTATAACTTCCAAATCTTTTAGAAAAGTACGCGCATGGCCTCGATACGCATTCGGCGAATATATGCATTCGGTCGAAAAATAATCGAGTTTTTTAAAGTAAGCATACCTAAATGCGTAACAATAGTTATGGACAGGAAGGATATCCCGAATATAATTTTTGATAAGAATTCTCACATGACAATTTCCTTTTCGTAAGTGTACTTGAAAGGTTTTGATCTTCGCACGCATCCTTCTCCTGTTGTGCATATCTCTGTGCATCTTTGAAGCCTTGCGATATCACCCCTTAAAACTGATTATGTATGGTTCATTGTGAAATATTTAAAACACTCGAAAGAATCACGTTAATCTGTATAAAATTACAAACTATTCATCAAAACCGTTTCCGCAATGTCATCGGCATTATGCCCGGTAACTATATGATCCACCCCCAACATTACAGCTCCACGATCTAAAGCTTGGCGTCTAAATACACCGCAAAATGTACCTGCAAACACAAACAAATTTTCAGCATCTGCCAAAACAACACCGGCTATAAAAGCATATATTTATCGAAAAAAAAGATAATAATAATAATAATAATAATAATAATCTTACAATTATTTTTCAATCCGACTTCTTTGACAATTTGATCCATGCTCCATCCATATAACTCGCTATACGAAATGATTTTTAGCGGAAGTTCATATTGTTGCTGATTTCTTTTCACCGTCTTTTAATTAATCGGTTCATTTGTAAAGCAACAT